TCTATATAAAATGAAATCGAAGGATTAGAACACAGCATACACTTTCAAAAAAGCCTTAAATCAATTTTATAAGTCCATACGATACGCGTTGGCAACACGTTAAATGATTAAACTAATTAAATTTATGTCTTAATCAGTCGACTAATACACTATAACAGATCTCTCTACATATTATTCATTTCCAAAAACATATTCTAAGCATGAAAAAATCTCCAAATATGTTCCCCAAATCCTTCTTCACTCTCCTAATCCTCTTCATTTTATCCACCGCCGTGTACGGCGGCCGTGTAATCGTCGACCAGTCATCGTCGGATCTCGTCTCCGATGGAGTTCACGGCGGCGGAGGCAGAAATAGTAGTAGTATTGGCCGTGAAAGAAGAGTTATCTCGCTATTTGCTGCACCAGTAGAAGAGGCATGTGAACAGAGCTATGGATTTTTGCCTTGCACGAAAACTGCTCTAGGAAATGTCTTCCTTATTATTGTGTATGGTTACCTTATGTTTTCGGCTGCTACTTATCTCTCCTCCGGTAGTGAGCTATTGCTTGAAATTTTGGGGCCTGGTCTAATTGGCGGACTTTTCCTGCCGATTCTCGGTGCTCTTCCTGATGCTATGCTCATTCTTGGTAAGATTTCCGTTTCCGTCCTTTCGTTTACTATGTTTATTTTTCCCATTTATTGCCTTTTTGCTTCCAAAAATGGCGAAGTTGTTGAAGTTTGGTAGAAATGAAGATACCATGTCCTTAAAATCAAATTTTCAAAAATCACCATGAATTCGAACATAGAAGCTTTTTAAGTTTTTTAAAATAAAATTTATTTGTTTGAAAACCATGTAAAATGTATTCTAAATAACAATAATTAAGGACACAGATATTTGCCTTCTGGCTCGAGCTTGTCTAGTGCGGGTTAGTTTTAGCCTGTGCGCACATAGCTTCGAATTTTTCTTGTCATAAAAAAAAAAACTTGGTTGACTTTAAGAGGGAGGTACTAGTTCAGAAGATATATGGTTTTTTTCTGTAGCGGAAGCAGATCTGCAACAATCATTTCTTTGTGTCATAGGTCCTCATGAAATGGATGAATTCCCTTTCTCCACAGCAGGAGTGGATCCAGAATGCGGGAGGATGTTCACCTAAACCTCACTGACAATACATACACTTTTATATAAGATAATTTTTTTAACTCGGTGAATTAGAGGATTCTTGAAATTTAAATCTTAGGTATTACATTTTAATTTTCAAGCCCTTGGTAAAAATCCGGATATGTCACTATTAACTTATATAAATATCCTCTGAAGATTCAAAACGTTTTTTGGTCTTTTGAATAGCTAAGCCTAGCCGTCTATTATGGTGGAAAAACTCCTCCTTCCATTTCCTACCTAGAACAAGTTAAGAATAATTAGTAGTACCCCATATGGTTGGACCCAACCTAATAGGTATTTTCAACACTTGTATTGAAATTTAGTCAGTCTGTAAGGACTAAAATAAACAATTCAAATCACAATTGTTTGTAGTTAAAAGTTAATTGAAATTTATTTTAGAATTGGAAAATCATATTTTAGTCAAGTAATTTGAGACAAAGGAGTATTAATTATTATAGGATATTAGAGAGATTCAGAATTGCATCAGAAGGAACAGAGAACCAAAAGTTTCGTTTGTCTTGTTTTATTATATTATTCTCTCTAGATTTAAGTTTTTGTACGTTGACTTTTGAGTTAACTTTTGTTGAAATAATTATTCATGCTTTGAATTCCATTTTTTGTGAAAATTAATCCATTTTTATAGTTGGATGTCAAATTTATTTGAAGAAAAACTTTACCATTTTATAACAAATCATTTCTCCTGAAATTCACACTAATATGAGCATGTAGTTATAGAAAATTGTTATCATTTTTATTTTATTAATTTTAGGATGTAGAAAAATGGATTATATTTGAAGTCAAAGCATCACATCATTGATTGGATTGATGATTTTCCTAGAAAAACATCTAATAAAAATGTGTTGTGATGCTAACATAAATTTGTATTTAGACATGGCAAATACAAGACCTATTGTAAATGTAAGAACAACTAAGTTTAAGTTGAACTAGTTGGTATCACTTGTATAGATCGGTTGCTTCTATTGTGTTTTGTTCTTAGGGAAGTTCTCCTTTTCATAATAAACCTTGTTTTGATATTATATCGTAAAAATCGTTTGTTGCAAGCCATATTAAGTTCACAAGTTTTTTCTTTTCATCAGTATCCGGGATTACTGGAAGTGCTGCAGAAGCGCAGAGCCAGGTCTCTGTAGGAATAGGCTTGTTAGCTGGGTCGACAGTGATGCTTCTTACTGTGATATGGGGAACCTGTTGCATTGTTGGCAAGTGTGATATAGAAAATTCTACTGCTGTGGACTTGAAAGACACTAAAGGGCTCAGTTTGACTGGTATGTCTCTTTACTTTAGAGTATCTGCATGAACTTGCTTTTCTCTCACCCTCCTTTTTTAACAAGTTTTATGAATAATTTTGATGTGTTGCATCCAGTGGATGCACTATATTACCAAATGTGAACTATTATGAATGACTGGTTTGCTAGTTAACATAGGGGAACTTTCATGAAACACCATTGTAACCATCTGGTACCAAATTGCAGGAACAAATCATGTATATTTTGCTCATATTCCATATGATATAAAGGATTGTCGTAAAGTTTAAGGCTCAGACATTTTTATGGTGACAAATATGTTCCTCGTAATTCTTCTTACAATATGTAGGTTTTTGAATAATGCATGTCATATTTCATGCTACTAGAAGGCAGGTTCTATCTATCGAAGTATTTCTGCTCAAAAAGTGGGTCTCTCTGTCTGTAGGTTCTGGTGTTACCACTGATATCTGGACAAGCTATGCTGCAATGATCATGGCCATATCTGTTCTTCCATTTATTGTTGTGCAATTACCACAGCTCTTCCATTCAAATTCAGGAAGACATTTAGCTGTCTTGATAGCTCTTATCATATCGTTGTCGCTGCTCCTCTCTTATTGTCTTTATCAGGTAATTGTCAGGTTTTCATTTTTTTTTCCTCCATCAATCTTGATGAGTTTTTCTTCTTTCACGCCACTGACATTAATGGCGGAGAATACGCTTAATCCTGGCTGGTAAATCGATAAACCCTGCTGAACTTCCTTTAACTGTTAATGCAGGTCTTTCAGCCTTGGATACAAACACGAAAACTTGCTTATGTAAAACATAAGCATGTCATATCAGGAATTTTGAAGCATTTAAAAAAGCACGCATTGGGGAGGCTTTTCACAGATCATGGAACACCAAATATAGAAGTTTTAGAAAAGTGAGCTTTAAATTCTTTCTGCCTTGTTTATATAACCGTAGAATGATGGCTGATGTGATGAAGCATTGTTTTACAGGCTGTTCAATGCAATTGATGAAAATGGTGATGGTCATCTTTCCCATTCTGAATTAAGAGCTCTGGTCGTAGGAATCCGTCTTGAGGAGATTAACTTAGAAGAAGATGATGCAATAGCAAAAGTACTGAAGGACTTTGATACGTCTTGTGATGATCAACTTGATTTGCAAGAATTCATTGATGGAGTTGAGAAATGGCTTTATGAAGCCAGGAGTTCTAATGGTTCTTCTGCTCAGGCTGGTCCTAATACAATCAATTACATCGATGATTTTCATGAGGTATGTTGTGACCTGATGACATTATTTAAATAGTTATAGTTAGGACGATTATGATACAGTGTAGATGAATGTTGCAGGAAACAAGGAGAGAGCACAGTCTCTTGGGGGAGGATCAAAGTGATGAACTTGTTGAGGGTGTCGAGAATCCTCGAAAAGTTGCTATAAAGGCTGCGTTACTGTTGTTGTTGGGTACCATCATTGCTGCTGTCTTTGCTGATCCTTTGGTGGATGCTGTTAATAATTTCTCCAGTGCCACAAGTATTCCATCTTTCTTCATCTCATTCATTGCACTGCCTCTGGCAACAAACTCCAGTGAGGCAGTGTCGGCTATAATTTTTGCTACCCGGAAAAAGAAGAGATCTGCGTCATTAACATTTTCTGAGGTTTGTTTTTCTTGCTTGACTTCCACCCCTTTAGTATGATAATTTAATTGATTTTCCCTCCAATACTTGCATTAGTTAATATAAACGACCAAATTCTTAATAATCACCGATGATTTAGACTTGAACTGAAGACTTAACTTGTAAAATCCTTTGTCGTTCGCAACTTTAGCTGTACCAACACTTCACTAGATTTAATGGTATATAGAAGCTTGAAGCAAATAAAGAGACAGACCTCATTCATCACAAAAAAAAGAAAAAGAAAATAATAGTAAAATGCAGAGACCAAGAACCTCAACTAGAGATTCTAAAGCTTTCACAGCCATTACATGTGTAAATTTCTGTCAGGACTTGGTATTACACTAGTTTTCATGCAATAATTACTCTCCTAATTTTCTTATTCTTCGTTCTTATTATTACATGTTCTTTCCTTAGCTTCAGTTAGCGTATTATTTGTTATTGCTATTGTTCTTTCCTCCTTTTGTTTTTTAGCATGTCTTCTTCACTACTGCATTTCCTTTCGGTACTTGATTTTAATATGCTTTACATGAGCTGAGAGTCTATTGGAAACCTCTCTACCTTCACAAGGTAGGGGTAAGGCTAGGTACACTGTACACACCACGTTACCCGGACTACACTTGTAGTACTACGTTGGATATGCTATTGTTCTACTTTAAACTTCACTCCGAGGTAGGCCTTGTTTGTTTTGTTCAGTTTCCAAGGCTAATAATACATTTGGTGATATCTTGCAGTTATATGGAGCTGTGACTATGAACAATCTCCTTTGTCTGTCAGTCTTCTTGGCTATTGTTTACAGTCGAGGATTAGTTTGGAACTTCTCATCTGAAGTGTTGGTTATTCTAATTGTTTGCATTGTTATGGGGATCTTAGGGAGCATCCGCACCACCTTTCCTCTGTGGACTTGTTTGATAGCTTTTGCACTTTATCCATTCTCCCTTGTACTCGTGTATGTTCTTGACTACGTCTTTGGTTGGTCATAGATCGATCATTGTATGGAACAAAGATCAGAGTTGGTGTGTATATTTTGAGCAGCAGTGCACATCAGTCGTCTTGAATGTGTCAAAACTTCTTGATTATAAATCTCAATTTGCTCTTCCCAGAGCTGAGAAACCTTGTTTTTACATGTAATTTGAAATTCCAAATACTATGTTTATTATGTATTGGATTTTTAGTTTTCCAGATATACATACATGTCCATTGATGTTAAGCCTATTGCTGTTGCATTCTCAGTCTCTCTCTCTCTCTCTCTCACACACACACGTGCACGGATACACATATTTATCAAATAATAGTACTATAGTTCGAGAGAAAGTAACAGTATCTACTCAGACACTACAATGGAAGTGTGTTGAATCAAGAACAGATTTAAGGCCATGAAACACATCCTTTGTTTAAGACAAGCCTGTTATTCTTCTGATGTTTTCGATTGTTACATGCAAAAAAATGACTTCCATTACACTTTTCACTGCAAAAGACTCCATAAACTACTTGAAAGACATGTTCAAGTAATAAAACTATAGTCAAACAACTATATCTTTTTTTCATTGTGAAACACCATGTTCAAGGCATCTTTTTCATTTTATAATTATCTACTACTGCAGTTTAGAAGTAATGTTTTTTTACCTCTATACTTAACAAACCATCTCTCCAGGATATATCATATGGCATGGAATAAACTTCTATAGCTTCAGATTGAGATCAACTTTTCCTCCTACTTCACCATGAGTGTTTCCTGGTTGGCCAATTTGCACGTTCGGAGGTGGGAAGAATCTGAAAACGCGTTGTTGAACTGATCTGTTTAGGCTTGACCTAGTGCTAGGCTCTTCAGAAACTTCCTGTGGAGTTGGAAAACTCAATAAGGATACATATAAGGTAACATGAATCATAAAATAAGATGTTGTAGTGCTTTTGTTGCTCACTTGAAAGGGTAGAGTCTCGAATTTAAACAGCTCGATATTCTGAGGGGCTATATTAGGAAAAACTTGCTGATTTACTGCACCAACAGCTGTAGGAGGAGCCAATGTGAGAAAATCTCCATTGAGAGCTCTATTTTGTCCAACAACATTCCTTGATTTTAAAGGAACTTCTCTGACAAGTTGATCAACGAGACTCGTTAGAGGTGAGTACTCAACTACTAAAACAACGCTAACTTCAGGAGAGATATCGAACCTTTTAAGATAAGTTCTTGAGTCTGAATTTGCTGTGGACATAGGGGCATCATAGCGCGGAGGAAATTTGCAGTGAAATGTAGGGACAGGAGGGAACTCTGGAGGGAATGGATATGGTCTTTTTATGCCAACCCTCTACATTAACAAACAAGATATAGTAGCTATCAACCAAAAACTACTAAACTTATATCTTCTACAAACATATTAGAAGGTGAAATAGAAATTTACCTTCACTTCATCTGGCCATAGAGGTAAATAATTATAGCCATGATAACTTTGGTTTGAAGGGGGCTCCATCTGATAATTTCTAACAGATGATGATGATATCCCTGATGAGATATTCACCTGCAAAATCCAGGATACTAATTTGGATCAGCAACTAAATTTGACTGTCAACAAGTTAGCCTGATTAACAAAATACAGTAAGCTACTGCCACGGAGTGTGATGGAATGGTAAAGATTTCTCTACCCTTAACTAGGAGTCTCAGGTTCAAGTCCCGGGAACAGACTCCTCCTTGAAAGGGCCTGTAGTGACTAGTGAGCATTCTACAGGGTTACTCCAGATTAGTCGTGCTACTGGATTGCAGACAACAAATGGTTAATACTAGAAAAGAACAAAGGTGATGACTAAGCTACGATCAACAACTGTGATGGAATGCCTTAAAAGATTTCTCTACCCTTAACTAGGGGTCTCGAGTTCAGGCCCTGAGAATGGAGTTTTCTTTAACAGGATTCACCAAAGCTCCCCGTAGTGGGCTTTCTTTAAAGCTAAACATGATTAGTCGGGCTAGTAAATTCCGGACACCAGATGATTAAACCAAGAAAAAAAGAGAGGATAATAAGTAAACTACCACCAAGGGTTGCGATGAAATGGTATCAATTCCTCTACCCTTAACCAAAGGTTTCTGGTACGAGCCCTGAGCACAACCCCAATGTCCACGTAATACGGAGCCTAAAACTCTCCATAGATACCTTTCTAAGACTCAAATCTAAATTACTTGAGCTAGTGAATTCTGAACAACAAATTGCTAAACTAGAAAAAAAAAAGTGATAAGTAAGCTACCACCAAGGGGAGTGATGGAATGGTAAAAGTTCCTCTATCCTTAACCAAACAAAAAGTCTCATGTTCGAGCCCTGAGAACAAATACCTCTAAAACTCCCCAAGTAAACATTCCATAACACTAATCTGAACTAATCAGGCTAGTAGATTCCAAACCCCAAATGGTCCAAAAACAAAAAAAGAGACAAGTAATGCAGCTTAGCTTACCATTGATGAAGAACAAACAGGTTGTTGATATTGTGGAAAGGAGAAAATAGGGGATTGAATAACAACACCATGATGATACAACTCCTCATCTTGATGATCTTTCTCAGAATTAAACTTTCCACTACACAATGTAGAGCAATCATCATCATACCCTTCACTCACATTCACTTGTTTTGTAGATTCCAAACCCTTTTTTGGACTCAAATTATCAATAAATGGTTTTGATGAATTTAGTCTAAAGTCACAATTTTTCAAAATGGATGATGATTTTAAAGCCCTAAAAGTTGAATCTTTTGATGTAACAATTGAATCTGATGGCAAAATTTCATCTTTTATTTGTTGTTCCTCTAATCTAATCTTCTCAAGTTGTGCAACACCTAATCCTCTTTGTGGAACTCTTTTTTGCTTCAATTTTTTAGTACCACTATTACTACTATTGTTATGTTCTTCTATTGTCATTATTGCCTCAGCCATTAAAAAATAAATAAATAAATTGTATCTTTATAAAAATTCTATATAGTTTAGAAAAAAAAACTATATTATATATATATAAACACAAAATCCATCAAGAACACAAAACAAGATTTTCTTGAAATACAGAGGATCTAAGAAATCCCAATCTGTATATTGAAGAGTGGATTTGAAAACAATGAAATGAAAATACTGAAATAATTCAGCAAGATTGTAACTTTGATATGAAAATAGTATAAGATTTTTGTGAAATTATAGTGTTGTTGATTAGATCACTAAACTATGAAAAAATAAACACACTTAAAAGAAGAGAGTTAAAGAAAAAAAAGAAAATCTAAGAAATTTCAAATTTTAAAATGCAAATCTAAAGGAAGCTAAAAAAGTGGTCTTTCTCCCATTTTTTACTAACAAAAATATCGGCAAAATGGTCGTTCCACTCTTCATTTCTTTTTCCCTAGACCGACTCTCATGTACTCTTCTTTCTCCTTTGTTTTCTCCCTCTTGTTTTTTTCGACACGTCAATATTTGACGCAAACTAAAAGTGTTAACTTTTTATAAATTTAAAAAATTGTAACATAAGTGATTATTTTAAGAGGAATTTTCGTATATAGCTATTGTTTCATCCCTAATCCTGAAATATAGTGATGGTATTTATTAAATGTAGTAATAGTTTAATTTAAAAGGTAGCGAAATATATTGTATCTACGTGCAAGTGAAATTCACTATAGTTAGAAGTAATATTTATAATTAAACCGCAAAATCAAATCTCTTGAGAATGCATTAATTCTCCTAAAAAGTATTTTCTCTATTTATTTTTACTTGTTCATTTTGAACTTTGTATGATCTACAAAAAATAATGATTGATATTAATATTAATATTTTACAGGAATACCATATTAATTAATATGTAGTTACTCACAAATAAAATTGAAAAATTATTTTTGAAACACTGAACAAGTAATGAGATCAGTTGGACCAAAGTGTGGGACCCTTTTATTGCATGCATGCAATTCAACAAGAAAATTTTAAATTAATAAAAAAAGATCATCATGACCTCTATCAATCTCCACATACATATAACCAACGAATAAACAATAAAAAGAACTCTTCGTTGGGTATCTTCTTCTTTTTTCCTTCCTCGAGTTGTGATTTGGCTGTTAGGAAGTCGTTATATAATATACACATACAATTTACTCGTCTCAATTTATATGATATTATTTGAATTTTAAGAATCAAACAAGAAAATTTGTCACCATGTTTTCTTTGCATGTCCTTAATATAAATTATGTCTGAATACACGATCAAAATTATGAAATCTTACTCAAAATACGAAGTATATCGTATAAATTGGATATATATATATACGATCTTATGTAAGTTGATCTTGACTTTTAAACTAGTTGTTATGATGAAATATAAATTATTTGTAATTATTGTTGTAATTTTTTCTTGGAAATGATTGATGATCCAAAGCGGCCTCGGAAGGTCATGAAGTCACTCTTTTTTTATAAAAAAAAAATATATTCGGAATTTAAAACTCCATGACGATTGCTATTTGTAAAATTAAAATAAAATAGGAGTATCATCGAAAATGCTATTTCATCGATGGGGGTTGAGGCTAGATTTAGTTTTTACAAACACGGCTTTAATTTTACATCATTTATAATATATTGGAATTGGTGTATAGCCAACTAATTTGGAAGACGTGAAAATGGTAAAAGTATATTCGTATTAATTTTACGTAACTATGACATGTGTTTGAACATATACAATTATCATTAATCATGATTAAATAACGTAGTATATTTTTACTTTGTTAGATCACAAATTGTGTTTTAGCCCAAAAATTCCCCTTTTTTTTTCGAATTTTCGGAAAAATAAAATAAGTCAAAAAGCTGAAAATGGAAGGTCCCGTAGCTCAGTTGGTTAGAGCGTTGGTCTTATGAGCCGAAGGTCGCGGGTTCGAGCCCCGCCGGGACCAACCATAATGTTGATTAATTTTGTTTTCGCTTTTCCGGTTATTTTTTTAGACTTCTTGTTGGATGACTATTACATACTATTTTATATTGTTTTGATGAATACAATATTATGAAATAGATTGTCTTGTTTCTCAATGTAACCCGAACTTATCAAAAATTATTAGTTTCGTCCCGAACTATTGACAATTCTAAAAACATCCTTCTATTTGATTAACTAAACTTAGATACACCCCGAATCCACCCCACCCCCACCCCAATGTGTTACATGACCTAACAAATGGTTACAAACTCATATAGGAGCATTATAATCTTAATAAAAAAACTGAGAGAAATGTTGAAAACACACCTAAACTTGACGAGAAATTAGGGGTGTATTTCCCTCATATAAAATCAAGGTGTATTTAAGTTCATTAGTCAAGTAAAGTAATGTTTTAAAGGCTGTTGATAATTGAGAAATTGAACTAATAATTCACGCCTAGATTAGGGGTGTTATCAATACTTATCTAATTATCTCTAAAAGAAATGAGTAAAGTACGAGGTGAAGCTATTTAGAAAAAAATAATTAGCTAACAAATAAAATAAAATTTAAAAAAATATGTGATCATACCAAATTGTTCCTTAGATTAAAATGGAACATTGGTAAACTATCCAAATAAGGTGTAAAGTAAAAGAGAAAGGAATAATTGCATTGTTCTTTTTTCAATTTTTGATGCTAACCACGCGAATCCTCAATTAAAACGAATCAAAAGATATCTTCTTTCTTTTCTGATTTGAAGCACTACAATATTATATTCCGATGAATATTCACTCTCTTAAAAGAAAATCTTGGATAGTGAGTGCCCTGATTAGGTAAAATATATTCTCTAGTCGAGTCAGGTTCAAAATCCAATTTATCGTGACATGAGAGTGAGATCCACTCAATTTTCTTATCATGATATCAAGGTGGTGTTAGAAGCCCAACATCTGAGTGAGATGATAATTTGTTATTTTGGGCAATACTCGTCTCTTGAGCTAACTATTGAATTGAGCTACATACAAGGTCAAGAAAGTAACTTCTTGGGACGAGTCTAGATCAATAATTTAACTTTCTTGCAATAATTAACATTCTTAATGACAAAGACTAAAGAAATAAGCTAAATTCAAAGCTCTTTAACAAATATCCTGTTGGTAGTGTTATCAAGGTGAAGAAAAAGGAAACTTTTCTAGTTCCAAAGAACTTAATAGGCCACATGCGATTGTGATAGGATAGATAGAATCCCTCTGCCACTTAACCAGATGTCTCGTGTTTGAACTCAAGAAAACAAACAAATCCGGACAAGGAGTGTTTTCATCCCTATAATGGGTCTTAAACACACGAATCAATCAGTCGAGGCTCCAAGACAAGTACCATTATGAGGGTGGCATATGAGTTCTGACTTGTTGGACAGTAAGTAAATAAACTTGAACTGATTTTTTGGATCCTTTGCTATTTCTGTTCTATATTTGACATTTTCATCACTCCTAGTATTAAACTTTGTAGGTATAAGAAAATAGATATATGCCAATGACAACACTATTGGTTGATGGAAACTTTGAAGTTCTTTTCACAAGATTTGATTTTTATTTTCATTTAAACCTATAATGGCATAGAAGTCATCCCACATGGGGTCAAGTAATTACACAGTCAATACAAAACTGTAATATAGAAACAAAATACAGCAAGCTCCAACTCATGATATAACCATAAAGCATTAGTTCCTCTGTCATTTTAGTAGGCCATCCTAATTATAAATGGTATTGAAAACATAGCCACCACAATAAACTCTACAATCCCTTAATACTACATGTTTATAGTATACTTTTCTCGCAAAGGGTGTTCAACTGACCATGATTTAAAATCTTTCTGTTTGACAGTACCAATCAATCATAAAGAAGTGACAATAACTACTATGAGGCAATTGTCAACATCTTGATGTGTCTAACTAATATTTTCCCAAGGGAGTAAGCAATAAACCCCAAAAAAAGAAAAAGGAAAACAAAGAGAGAACATCCCACTAGACAATCTTTTATTAGGTGTACTGAGATTTGCAGGGCAGGGGACCAAGAATTCATTGCCAAGTGGCACACTTTGTTGTATATGTGTTTGGTAGTTCTTTCTATTATTCAGCTTCTGCTTCATCTTTAATAGCAATTTGATTGGTTCTCTTCACTTTCTCAGTTTTATGAAGCCTAGCTTAGCCCCACTTAGTTCTTCTACCTTCCAACATTCATCTAGAATGATCATTTTCTTAACTTCCTGGGGTTGTCCTTGACAAGTTTATATTCCTAGCAACTTCATCATTGTGTGATAAACCACCCCTGTGGCTTGTACTCAGTGGGGCTATGACTGTTGACTCTAATCATCACTTTGTTACCATAAACTATGTTGCTCAGACTCTCCAAAAATGTTGCCACACCGTCGATATTATTGAAGAGTCTAAACAACAATGGACAGCAAAGAATTCTATCTAAGACATTTTTTCCATTTCATTCAAGACTTATGTTGGCTTAACTACTTAATAAGAATAAGAGCAACTAACTAGGCAAAAGGAATCAAAACATAAATAAAACTGTTAGCTAGGGACTTGAATGGCTGCCAAACCCTTTAATGATAGGAAATTAGGTAGATGAAGCTTTCAAGACTATATACTTATCTGTAAAGGCTAGTCTAGACAATATAGGTAGCAAAAGTCACTAAAAATTAGTTTAAAGCTGAAGCTGGCATTCACATTTTACCACTCTTTAACCCACCCTCAATCAACTCTACTGCTCATAGAAAATGACTTACCCTTTGATATTCACAAATATCCTACAAGTGATAGGGAAGTTAAAAAGGCCATGTATTTCTTTCAATCCCCTTTTGAGGGCTTGAGGAAGTTGTTGAAACATGAACTGGTTTTATCAGAAAGTAGTAAAGCAACTATCAAACTAAAGAAAGATCTCTCTTTCAACATGAAAAATTGACTCTTTTATCTAAACAGCTGAAAACAATCACATTTCTTCAATCCATTCACATTTTTAAAATAGGAAAGACAGCAATCAACCCAAATCAATGAAACAGTAATCAGGGTAGCAATGAATTAAAGAAACCTCCATCAAATTCAGGAACTATTACTAAGAATGGCTTTCAAGACTTAAAAAATTCTAACAAAACATTACCAATTCTAGCTTGAAAGTCTCCAAAATCATGAAATTTTAGCAAACAGCAGCAATATGACAAGTCTGGCCAAACACATAACACTCCTAAAGTAGCTTGTTGAGCTAGAAAAGCTCAATTACACAAGAACAAAATCAAGAAAGTTAAATAACTAATAATATTAGACCGGATCGAAGAACCTGAAACAAGGATCAGGATTCTTTTCGACACGGTGTATGTGCCATTGAATCAGACTCTATAATGAACTCTCTCATTCTCCATCTCCAGGCTCTTTGGCAGCATCACTTCTGTAAGTTCCAATTGCATTCAAGTAGAGCATATCCCTGCAAATTGAGCTCAACAACGTTTCAAGAACATTAAAGTTAAACAGGAAAATTAAAAGACTGATCAATTATTAAAGTGAATACCTGTCAGGGATTTTGAGAAAGATCAAATTTTTGGAGCTAATTCAATGGCGAGAATCAGAGGAAGCAGAGGATGGCTTATCGGAAATGCCATCGTGCTCCTCTTCTTCACCTTGGATTCGAGCAGGAATACGAAACCCAGAGAATTCGCCTACTTCAGAGGCAAATCCATAACCAGGAATTGTTGATGGATACATTGGTAAAACAGCTTGATGGTGATGACTTGGATCACCTGAGGCAATTGCTATAGTTGATGGGTCCATCCATGCTCGAACCGAAGATGTGTTACTGGACTGAAGGGGTCCCCTCTGAGAAAAAAACTGATTTTGGCCGAATAGCTGCTGCAGCAGCGCCGGTGCTGGTGGCGAATTGAACAAGTACCCACCAGGTCCTGTTACTGCTCCACCACTACCACCAGGGCCAGTGTCTCTACTGTCACTCCAAGAACCAAGTCTCTGATGCATAGACCAGCCAGAGGTGTCAAACCCAAGTGGGGTGTTTCCTGTGAAGTGGGCTGGTGCTTGAACCTGCACTTGCTCTTGTTCCCTATGGTTAGTTTGGTTATGGTGTTGAGCTTGCTGGTTCTGGTGGTGAAGCAAAATAGGATCTTGAAACTGTAAAGAGAGACTCAAATCTTGGTTCTGGCTATTGGTTCTTGACAACATATGGGGTTCTTGGAAGCTGTGGAACTGCATAGCTGAAGAGTTACCTGAGGTTGAAGAACCCATTGGAAAAAAGGACTTAATGGTATCAGCAATAGCATCAGATTCTAAAGATGGAGGCAGAAAGCTAGCAGTATTACTCTCCATTGCTCTTTTACTTGAAGGGCCAGCAACATTATCAAACAAACTAACATTTCCTTGTTGAAATGCAAAGTTGTTATCTTCTTGCTGTTTTTGAGCCTGCTCTTGTTCAATATTAGTGTTAGTAGCAGCAGCAGCAGATACAGAACCAATTGTAGGTTTCCAGGCAGGTAACTCAGCTAGCTCATCAATGGCGGGTTTCGCCTTTTTTATAAGCCAATCCACAGCTTTACTAGGTCTGTCATAACCAAGGCGGTCTTGAACATCGTAAAACTGAATAGCAGTATGAGCAGAGAGACGCACACGGCGGTCTCTGGGGCCTTTGGCTGTGCAAACCTTGCTGTGGCGGTCTTTCCGCCCTGTAGACCTCACAATGTGACCTCCTTGAACTTCTACAATCTCTCCTACAGTATTCCTTATACCCAATCTTGACGTTTCTCCCATTTTTCCACGCAATGTTGCATGTTCGACGTTTTGCCCCAATGAAGACGAAGAAGGCAAATACGAACGTTTCTTCGGTGGCGGAGGCGGAGGCTGTGGTGGAAGTAATTGTTGTGAATCTAACCTTCCATAAAGCAATTGATTTTGATTGAAAAATGGTTGTTGTTGTTGAGGATGAAGATAAAGCTGAGGTTCGTTTTCTGATTGTTCTTGATTTTCTTCTTCTTCTTTGCCAACTGAATCTTGATTTTGATTTTGGTTGGGATGATAATGGTGCTGCTGATTCCTCTGAGGATCCAGACTCAGACCCTTGTTCTGCTTTTCTCTTTCCAGTTTTTGATTGATTACGCTTGTTCCTCTTCTGTACTATTGTTCTTCTTCTTCTGTATCTGGCACCACTCTGAAATCTGAAACTCTCTGCCATTCAACTTCCCAAATTCCATAACTTATTCAACAAATATGCCTAACCCATCACTCCCTCTCTCATATATGTTTAAACAATTCTATTGATTTGGTTAATAGAGAAGAAGAAAAAGAAGAGGATGAGAATTTGCAGAGCAATTAAAAAGTGGCAAACAAGGATTCCTTTATTTGAGCTTTATATGATAAGAGCCAAGTTGCCAGCCTTGTTTAGATGCCACTGGTTTTGGTACTGCTATGGTTAGCAGTGTTTTTGTCAGTTATAAGATTAAAGGTCTTTGTAACCTCATCATCACTGCCATCTCTCTTTCTCTTTCTCTCTCTGTATGTACTCTACTGGTGCAGCTACTGCTGCTGTTGCTGTTGCTGTTGCTGCTAACCCTTGTGGTATTTTTTCACTTTTGTACTGCCCAAAAAGCACATATATCACCAATCCAAACACTCTTTTTTAACCTTTTGTCATTCAACCACAACCAACTTGGTTCAATTTTAACCCCCTTTCATTTCTTTCTAGTTCTTGGTATCCCAATTATATTTACCTCTATCATGTTCAAATAAGGCGTAATATGTAAATATGTTGTTTAACTTGATTGATTTATATTTATGTTCTTCAATTTTGAGTATACACGAATGAACGAGGCGATTTTTGATGTCCCACTTGTTAATGCTGTCCAAAGGCTTTTTTTCTCTTTTTGTAACTTCTTAGTTACATGTTACAACCATTTGGTTACTTAGCTCAAATTGACCTTTAAAATTTACTTTTCTTTTGTTGAAAGTGACATATTACAGCCTTTATAACACCTTCTTTTCCTCTCTTTCTTTTCTGAGTTTGCTTTTTTCTTTTTTGTATTTAAATTCGATTAATTTGAATTCATGATATATAGAACTTTATATCAAGAATTTTCTCATATCCTTATTAATTTGAATTTGAAATTTCTTATTAAGAGAAAAATAATCTCATCTACTACGTCATATTCGTTAGTAACTACCTCTCTCTTTCTTTTTTGATTCACTTCAAAGAAACAACACCATCTTTTCCTCAAATTGCATTCTCTTAACTCACTTTTTTTTCCTTTTGTCTTTTTACTATCTACTTTTATTTTTGGACTATGTAATTTACACTGCATGTCCTTGTGTCTAGTTGCTCTCCACTAATTACCAATAAATTGCTTATCAGTTCCTTATTTATTATCCAAAGTACAATAACTCACATTATCTAAGGGAGCGTCTAAATATGAGTTAGAGTGATATTTTTTAAATAAATAATATTAAAAAAAATAAGTTTATGAAGTATTTAGAAACTGAAATTTATTAAGTCGTAATTTGAACATGTGAATAGGAATTAGGAAATATATAATTGTGGTGTCATAGTCAGAGTGTGAAAGATTATATATAGTGGAAACAAGAAGAGACGACTGACGAGTCAGATCAAAAAAATATTAGGGAGAGATATTAAACAAGCTCCCTACCATAGTACCCTTACAAGGTAAATAATTATTTTTTTAAAGACTACAATAAATAAATTGGGATAGAAAGAGATAGGAATATACAATTTTTTGAGAATAGGAATTTACAATCAAGGATTTTAGAGAGGTGAAAATGAAAAGAGACAAAGTCAAATCGTAAAAAGTATTAGGGAGAATTGATTAAACCATCTCCTTACCTAGTATCCTTACTATGTTAAGATAAGGTTTGATATTTTATTCTTTCCAAACTTCAGTCGTAGAATTATATTATCACAAATGTACGATATTGTTGTTTATATCTTAAGATGTTATATTTCTTTCTCTTTTTTTAAAAAAAAAAAATTACGAAAAATAATTTGAAATAAAAGGAATATATATATTTTTTGGGAATAGATTTGAAAAAGAAAAGACAAAAAAAAGAAAAAGGCATAGATATTGTCAAAAAAATCTTGGTGAAGGTGAGGAGGCATTACTGTTCCCTATAAATCCATGTCTGCCTAATTGCAGTCACACTGCCCATAACACTTACTCTAAACTCTCATTTAGGAGACAAAAATCCCCCTCTAAAAATATCATCTTTTATACATTTTGGAATTAATTTCTTATGTTTTTTTTTAGAACATTTATATTATGGACTAGTGGTCTTTTTTATATTGGACAAGACAAACATTCTTACAACAATTCACCAATCCACCTTAAAGAATTACTACTACCTAATATAAAAATACGGTAATAATATATTCAGTGAAATTTAATACTAAGTAGTAGTAGTAATATTTTTTCTTTTGGAAGCTTTAGGATAGCTCGTAGCATTATAACCTCTGTCATAATTTATATGTTTTGAGTGAGCATTTTGTGTGCAGTAGGAACACTGTGTAATAATCTGTAAATCACACATGAAAGTAAACTACACTAGATAGAATGCAACAAGCTCAATTCAGAAGACATTGAAAGTTTAAAGGTCACACCGTAATGTCAGAGGCACTATCTGCGGATCAACCCCTCATCAAATATCTTACTACTTCCCTCAACTTCACGTTGTTTGACTGGATACAAATTTTTTTTAAAAAAATTAAAATTTAAAATTTATTGTTTGAGATAAATTTTAGATATTTACTCCCTTCTAATTTATACGACATTGTTTGAGTAGATATGAAATTCTACAAAGATGATAGAATTTTTTTTTGAAATTTATAATTTACATTAAGTAATAAATGTTTGTGTGGTTATAAATTATCTTATATCAAAACTAACTATAAATCACAAAGACGATTTTGAATCATGCGCTCATACATTCATTGAGAGAACCAAGCTCATTGGGAGCACTAAGCACGATTAACAAACTCGGATAGTAAAACTATAGAGAAATATAAGACCAATCCGACTAAGAACAATGTACAATATCAAACCAATTATAGAAATATCGATCAAAACATGCTTAATATCAATGAACAACAACCAAGCCCTTCAAAGAAATTAAGACTTATTTTAAAATTAAGTATAAAAAAAATGTCTTTTTTTTAACACTCAAATAATTCCAAAAAAAAATTGTAATTTTTTTTTTATGTGATCTAAGTATTTGTCCTGTATAACAAGTTGTGCCCCCGCCACATCTCACGCGTAGGGAAAAAAATATATGCTATCTTTACTGACATACTTTTTTAAAATCCAGTGCAAATGTGCAATACTTTATTATATGTAAGATTTTGTAATATTTATACTTTTACTTTAACCCTTTATTATATTTTATATGTAGACACACTAGTGCACCTTACACTATATATTGTAAAAAAAAAATTATATTGTAAATTTACAATACTATGATCTTCGATTGTTTTGTAAGTTCTTTATCAGAGGACCAATTTTTTGAGTTATAATATATAGCACGTATACTAATATTGAAAAAGACTAGACATTGAGGTACTATACTACTACTACAATAACAACATGCAAGCTAAGGAGTTTGAAGGACAAAATGACAGGTATAGGCAAAATCATTAATGAACTTTTTGCCATTTTTTTGAATGAATAATCAAGTTAGTACACATGCAAATTAAATGAGGAATCACCATTTAAATTAAACCAAAAAGAAAAAAAAATGTAAATTAGTAATGTAAACTTGTGAAAATCTTTTATGAATGTTGTGTGTCAGACTCGAATTTAAGATTTACGAAAATGCCTAATCATTTGTATTGTTATACTTAAAATTTAGTATATATATATGGTATAAGTCATTATGCTTAATATTTAAGATTTATGAGTTCGATTCGATATGATCGAACTCATAACTTCAATATGTGCATGCGCCAAGATATCAGCTAATTCTGTGCGCATGCAATGTATGATAGAAGGACTAAATAGCAGCAAATATTGTCAAGGGTCATTGTCATGTGCTGTGGGACTATGACACAAACATATAAAAATGAAAACTCCCATCACATATATAAATTAAATTAACTATGGTAGAAATTTGGTCTCACTTTCAAACATCTCACTCTTTTGCCTCATGAATGGAATCATTTTCTTTTTGTACCTTTTTTGTGCACTTATATACCATCTGATTAAATTCGAATTTGTATTAGAAAATCACATGATATTGTATGGTAAACAAATTCCTAATAAAGGTGATGATTTCATTTCAAGGCTCGACTTTGAAACGTCTAAATAAGAATTGAGAAGAAGTTATCATTCCACGGCTATAACCTTTTTTGTGCATTTACGATTGGATTATATTTGAATTCGTATCAGAAAATCACATGAGATTGTGTGATAAACTGCTTTTTGACAAAGGTGATTTCATTTCAAGGCTCGACTTCAAAACGTCTGAATAAGAATTAAGGAGTACTTATCATTTCATGACCACAACCTTTCTCATGCATTTATGATGCTCTTTTATATATGCGATCGGTATATATGTTTTGAATTCATATTGTACCTAACTAAATTTGAATTCATACCAGAAAGTCACATGAATTCATTTCAATTCAAGGCTCCACTCTACAATTACTGCATAAGAACGAATGAGTACTTACCACTCCACGATCTCATACCTTATAGGTGCATTTATGATGCCTCCCCTTACACAACCTAGACTCAATAACTACTCCCATTATACTCCTTAATGTGTGACAACAGAAGTGATTCATTCAATAAGTGGTTGTTTGCCTAATTGAAGTAATTTATCAAATTAGTATGGTGCAATTAGTGAGTTTTGAGTGGAACAGCTAGCTAGCATGTGACTTACCCTTACTTGATATTCACTCCTTTAAATAGGAAAATGACATTTATAGTGGTTTTTTTATTCAACAACTTTGATGTAGACTTCTACTTTTCAACTTAACTCTTGGATCGATCTAAGGTAAATGCAGTTTACAAGAATAAATATGTGTTTGGTACAAAGGAATAAAATGTTATTTTTCTAATAAGTAAGAATTTTATTTTATTTTTCTCATATTTGATATGTAATAAGTACATTTTTTTTAACGTAATGAATATAATAATTGTATTGTTAAGTTCAAAATATCTACAATGTCAACAATAAAGGACGATTCTCATAGTAAACTAATGCATCATGCATGAACAGAGACAAAGTCAGAATTAAGAGTTTGGGGGGTCAAAATTTCGTTAATAATCGTCAATCAATGTTGTTGGGGGTTCACAAATTAATATACATATATATTTAATTAATTTTCTAGTACAAATATAGAGTCTATAGAAAAACTACTGAATTCATCCAAACCCATGAACCCTCACCTAGCTCCACCCTTTTGCATGAACCATAAGTTATAAGTATTTTTTAGAGATAAGTGTCAAAAACACACCTAAACTATCCCATTTTTTGAGTTTCATACCTAAACTATTGAGAGTGTGAGTTTCATACCTAAACTATCACTTATTAGTTTAAGAAACACACATCAGTGTGTGTAATACACTCTCTCTTTTATTTGAAAAAATCTTGACAGACATTCAACATGGATAAAATATTCCACCTCGACAAAAAATAAATAATAAACTATTAATATAATTAAAAATTAAAGATTAAAG